CTCTGTTTGGTGACTCCAAGCAGAGTCCTGAAGGAATGTGCTCCTCAAATTGCACCATATTTAACAATTATATTCAATCAGTCTCTATCTGAACAGCAGCCTGGTTTTTTTTTTTTTTTTTTTTTTTTTTCTTCTTATGGTATGGAATTATTATTTTATATCCGCGCGATGGTTACCGCCTTTGCGGATTAATAAAGTAAAAGTAAAAGTAAAAGGTGCAAGTCAAGTTTCCCTTTTTTTTTTTTTTTTTGTCTTTCTAAGTACTGTTGTTTAAATGCTCTTTAAAATAATATATTTATAAATATACCAATGTTCTTTATGAAAATTGGGTACAGTCAGGCTATCAACAGTGCGGCACATGCGCTTTATGGGGCCAATGAAGAAATAGAAAATGTTGAAAAAGTCTTACTCTTAGGTGTTACAATGATTCCAAATTTAACCTTATTGATCTCATTAGCACAATTTGTAAGAAAGCCAGCCAAAGAATGGGTGTGCTCATACGAATTAGGAACTTAATTCCAGCTAAGGCCAACCTAATATTATTCAAGTCAGCACGTTTACTGCACCTCACGTATTGCCATTTAGTCTGGCATTTTTGTAGATTTGGTGATGGCTGAAAAACTAGAAAGACTACAAGAAAGGGGTTGAGGGAAGTATATAGAGACAAGCACGCAAGTTGTCCATAACCTCTTACAAGGGCAGAATTACAAACGCTGTTAACAGCGCCTGCAGGATATTTGCATCCTTATGTAAAAAGTGAAGCACAAACTATGTCCAACTTATATCTGTAATCTTTTCAGTAGTTACAGTTCTTCTCTATTCTTTACAGCAATTGGATTTCTCTATTCCTAGATATAATACTGTAACATATGCTAAGCATTTTTTAAAGGTTTCTAAGGCCTAGGTTATGGCATAAATTACCTCCTGATTTAACATCAGCGAAAAATTTTCATATTTTTTAAAAGCAAAATTCGAAAAAATTATGTAAGTTCAGTGATAGATGATGGATGTAAGGGCTGTTCTCTCTGCTCATCATAATCATTTAATTTTACGATTCTCCTCTGTTTTATAGAGAATATTTCTCATTTTAGATTCTCATTAGATTGTAATACATTATGCATAGCGAAACTCTAAATGCGGAGTTTCACGTCATTCATATCTAAAAAAAATCAGCTTCTGCTATCCAGATTTTTCTCTCTTTAATATTATATTTTATGCGTAGCCATGACAAGTAAAAACAACGCAAATAAAAAATGCGCACTAAGTGATGCGCAGTGAAAACAAGGCTATTACCCCTGACCAGGGAACTGTCACGGATATTAGAGCGCTTCTTAAGGTTCCCCTCACTACCCGGAGTAGTCAATCGATAAAAATCGGTATCGATAAAAATCGGTAGCAATCAAGTGATTTTTATCGATTGATAACGGGAATCGGTGTTATTATCGATCTTTTTGGTTTTAACGATTTACAACAGATTTCCGCCATCGTTGTTTTTCGGCATGAGTTAGACAGTACCGCTAAGAAAACACTACAAGACTACACTACAAGACTACGAGGAACAACTGATCAGCAACTATGAAAACGAGAAATGTAGAAACTGTTAAACACACAACTTTCTCTCTAAAACCCTTTATTAGTCTAGCCGCTTACGTAAGCAGCGAGACTCATAATCTGTAACGCGTTTTTGGTCGTATTTAGGACACAAATTGTGCCAGGCGTTCCTTGGGGAGACCGTGGAACCCGAAACTAGGAATCGTTGCGTGATCGAAGCCAGGCATGTTTTCAGCTGTGTTTTGGGAAGAAAGCTTAGGAAAGATTAAATTTAAAGCTTTTCCGAATCGTGTCGGTCCACAAATTCTATCGTTTCAAAGCGTTGATAACTTTGGAACAAGTGAACACTACTGAGTGGTAGAAAAAATATATATATTCTTAAGTAGCAAAACTGCGATAGTCGGGTTTTGTAAACTTTTGTTGCATGCAAATGGTGTTGTGATGAGCATGCGGTTTATTATCGGCGATGATTGAAATGACGTCCCATGTAAATTACTTCGACGATCTCTGGCAATGATGTAATTTCTCTGGAATCGAGGCTCTTGAATTTTCGTGTATTTATACACGCGTATAGCCTGCGACCGCAAACGTATTTTCGGCCGTCGCTAAAACACCTACTAAATCAATTCAGAAACAAATAAAACGTATCGCCTTCGATAAAGTAGGAAGTAAAAACCTTTACCGAGTAGATCCCGTTTCGTGTAGAATTAATCGCCTCCTCATTTCTTGATCTAATCTCCAAGCAAGCGAGATTGATAATCGCTGCAAGAGCGTTCTTGTTTCGTACATAACAACAAAAACAGTTCGGTTTGATAACATTCAGTTCTCGGAGACAAGTATCACGAGAAACACATCCTTAGATAAAGATTTCCTGACATTCCTTCGAGTCGGGATTCAGGCAAAAGATTTTCCTCGATAGATTTTCAATGTTTTCCAATAGCAGTCGATAAAAATTACTTGATTGCTAACGATTTTTATCGATGTCGATTTTTATCTATTAACTACCCCAAGTCCACCGGGATGTAACTGCACCCAGATCTACACCGACGTTATTTTGGAAGGGTGGTAGATCTAAATCCTGCGCCTACAGACCTAGCCAACATTAGCCATCAGACGAAGATTTTAAACCTCTGAAAGTTAACCTGGTTTTAAAGAAAAGATAAAATTTTCTTCAAGATTTCTTTATAAGCGATAATATAGATAATTTATACAACAGGATAAGTTAGAGTTAATGTCATAACCATAAACCCGCCCTTACTGGTAATGGAACCAACTCACTTCCTTTCAGGGGTCACTTCCGGCATGCCTATATTTTCGCGCCTAGCTCAGAAAAATAGCACTTCATATTCTTCTCTTCGTGGAACAAAATGTTTGTTACTTATAGCGTGGCTTTTTCTTCATGAATTGGAATTTTTGCTAAGCTGTAATGACGAGATCACCGTTTAGGAAGGGCTACCTTGATCTTCCAACTGCATACAAGCCTTACGCGTTTGAGTTTTTCTGGACAAACCTTCCACGAAGAGATGTTGCACCGCCGCTCTTGGTCGAACTCCGTCCTTGGAACATGAATGAAAATCGTCAAGGTCGGTTTCATGCTTCGCACATGCAGGCTGCTCCTTGCGAAAGGCGCGTTTTACAGTATTCGACAATCAGAAATTTCCTTCGTTCTCCGGATCATAAACAGCAATTATAAGCTAAAGTTTTCTCTCAGGGCCTGGGGATCAGGACCCCAGAGAGAGGATTAGGACCTCTCTTTAGCCTGGTTGTTGTGTTGTTGTTGCGTGATAATGTTCTTATTGGGTGAGGCCTCTCGTTCGGAGCTCACCTTTCTTGTTGTGGTTGTCCCCAGGGAGCCTGGGAATTAGGATCCCAGAGAGAGGATTAGGACCTCTCTGTAGCCTGGGGACTTGATGGCTTGTTGTGGTCACGGTGGGGCCAGACCACCCCTTCTATGTGCGCGAAACGCGTGGGTAGTTTTTTTCAAAATGGCGCCGAAAAAGTCTGCAAAGGCTTCTGGGTGCCGCCATATTGGATTTATCTCCCGAATAGGCCGAGCTTTAGCCGATATTTTGGGAAACTGGTACGAGCAATGTAGTTTTGGCGGTCACTTTGGGAGAGTTGAGTTCGTTAGCTTTCTGTCGGTGTGCGATTAAGTGTATCGTAGCTCGATGAATTAGGAAAAAGTGATATGATAGGAGGCGAAAATGCAGAGCCAAGTGACTGTGGCGAGGGTTTCAGGTAATCATTTTCTTGGGGCTTTTTTCGGAGTGTAACGAACTTTAATAAAAAATCTGAAATGATACGATGTTAGTTCGATCTCTGTGTTCATTAAATATGTATTTATTCGTCGCTTTTGTCTTCTCTTGGCAAAAATAAATCATGGGGTTTTCAGTCCACCATTGGCGGCAAGTAACAAGAAACCAAGATTTTCGATCGGAAAGTACCAACAGCTGAAGAAGGAAAGGGTAAATGCTGAAATTCAGAAATTACTTGACACAGATGCACAAATATTAGAGCTCAAAAGGCAACTGGCTTCTGAAAGAGTGAAAATTGACGCATTGGGAACGAAATTACACAACAAACAAGAAATTGTACGGAGGCGAAAACGAAAGGTTTGTTCAATTAACTTCTCTGTTTGTATGTTGTGGCCACTGTGAGATATATCAGGGGGGAGGGGGTGCCATCAGACTTCCAGGCTGTTGATTATCTGTGTAACACAGTTGTTCTGTTGGCTACAATAGCTTCACTAATAGGCACTATAGCCTTTGTAGTCTCCACACAATCTGTATGCAATCTGTAGTCTGGGTCATTACAAAACATTGATTCCAGGTCCATGGACTCCCTTCAACTGGGCCATGGATCATTTTCTAAAAGGTCTGAACCCTCTGCTAGAAATCAGTGTTCTTAACACATAATAAATTATTTTCAAGCTTGAGGTTGTTTTATAGCAAACTTGGCTGTTATTTTCCTTTAAGTCTCAAGACTGCATGATCAACATCAAATTTGTTCTCATAAGATCAATTCATGTACAGTTATGAGAAGAATATTGAGGAAACAATCACCAAACAGAAATTGCATTGAAAATTTTTTTTACTTCTCCCAACTCCATTGTAGGATTATAGGAAATTTTCAAGCTTAAATGTATAGGATTAAACCCCAGTTATAATTGTGTTCTCATCAGCTCCCTTTATAATTAGTCACTATTTAATTAGTGACTTTAAAGCAACTTTGGTCATGAAAACAATTAAGGTCACTGATCTAGATCTCCTGAATCAATAGTTTTTCAAATTCATTTTCTGATTCTTGATACTATTAAAAATTAATGATCCATTTATAAATTATTTTTTAACAATAACAGATCACTGAACTTGAAGCTATTGCAAATGAACATGAATGTCCAATCCAAGCCAAAAAGCCTCGGAAACCACATCTAAGCAGTAAAGTGCAGAATGATTGCAGTGAGAAGCTTGAGCACCTATCAAGATTCCAGCTATTACGAAGGAAAAAAAAGACCAATACATTGTGGAAGCAACATGTCAGTCTCTGATGACCAATCTGTGCAAGATGGATTATGGACCACATTGATTGGCACAGCTTCAAAACAAGTGATGGAAACTTATATCACCAATTCAGCAGTTTGCATGAATGATATTATACCGAAGATTGTTAAAAGGAGAGTTCAAGAATATGAAAAAAGTGAACAAAACCAGCTTAGGAGCATGCGTGTGTTGTACGAAGGGGGGATGGTAAGCAGGCGGAAGTACACTAACATACGAAACAGCGGTGATGTGATGAAACAATCTCCAGATCAATCAGGTAAAAATAAGAAATCACAATTTATCCAAAGCTGTGAAATTCCCAAGATCCTTCCATACAAAACTCTGATGAGTTATATCAGGAACATTAACCTTGGTGAGGTTTTACCTTTGGAGATTCTAGCAGAAAAGCTTTCTACAGAATCAGTTCCGGGTGTGTACAGGCCACATAAACCTTTCCTTTTGAGGCTCGCTGACATGTACCTGACACTCCATGATAAAGACCCCTGTCTACAGTGGTTCAATGGAGAAGAGGGGGTGCTGTATGTGGCAGTGGGGGCAGATGGTGCACCATTTGGTAAGGACGATACTGCCACTGCATATTTGGTCAGTTTCCTGAACTTGTTACAAAGAGTGCAAAGCTGTAACGATAACCATTTAATTCTGGGGGCTAACTGCGAAGAAGACCATCCACTCATGAAGTCATACACAAACCACCTGAGAGAAGAAATGGAAGAAGTAGAAGGAAAGCAGCTGACCACTGAACGAGGAAAACAAGTTGTGTTCAAATTTGAATTAATCCCATCAGACATGAAGTGGATGTCATCCCACTCAGGAGAACTGAACAATTGTGCAACCTATTTTTCACCATTTGCTAATGTTAATCAAACAAGCAAGAGAACCATAGGTGGTACTATTGGTGGTCTTGAAGCTACATGGCAACCATGGGATTACACAAAGAGACTGGTCATGGCAGAGAGAGTTGTGAAGCTGAAGTCAAAACTTCGCCATCCCATGGGGAAACAAAGAAATGAGGTCACTAAATTCATCGCTCAAAACAAGTCTAGACAAGAATTTGTACCTCCATTAGGAAAGTATGTGGATTTACTCAAGGCTGAGCCTCTACACAACACAAACAATGCTTGGCAGAGCTGGTTTTTAACTGCACTTGCTATTGTAATGCATTACACACACCAGAATCACCTCAAGGCAGCAACAGCAGTTTCTGATCTTCCGGACAGTTCCCCCCTGCTTACATTTCTGAAGTGCCTGAAAGACACCCTCAAGTGTGGGAGACTGTACAAGGCCTTTCTGCGGTGGTTCAGTGAGAAGCGGAAGAAGGGAATTTCATTCTCATATAGATTCACAGGACTTGAATCAAAGTATTTCTGTTGGCAATTTGCCACTTTGATTCAGGAACTTCTGAAGATCCCCACTCTTTCAAAGGGACATGTTCTGAAACTACACACATTGTCATTCATTGGTGTCAAATTGAGAGATGCAGTTTCCATTTACTCAAGAGTTGAGATAAGCATAGAGCAAGTTGAAAATTTAAAGGTTTTGTGCCAACAATTTTTCAATGCAAACAGTTTGTTGCTTACCGACGTCACTCCTACCGTGTGGACAGTAGGAGTAGCCATCCCCTACCACACTAGCAAATTGTATCAGAAGCTTGGCTATGGATTGGGCCTGAATTCAATGCAGGGTAGAGAGGCAAAGCACGTGAAATTGGCCAAGTATGTGGAAAACACATGCAATGCCAGAAAGAGCTTACGGTGGTGGACTGTGTTCAGACATGAGTTTGTGTCCATGGTATGGCTGAGAGAGAAAGATCCCTACAGCATTGCCTATCGCTGTGAGAAGAGGAACATAAGTGATTCTTATATTCCTAAGAGAGTTCGTGATTGTGATGACCGGTTTTGCCATTGTGGACTCTCGAAGAAAACCACTGGTAATCAAGGCTGTGAGATTTGCACAAGTGATGTGATGAAGGCCATCAAGCAAACTGTTGCTAGTGGAAAGATCACTCCTGAACTCAGTCAATTCTATGAGAATTAAGTTTAAGTTCAAAGCTTTATTCAAGTTTGGTGCAGTGTCTAAACAAATTTTTCCACTAACACAGCAGTTGACTTGAAGACACTTGTTAGTAGTACCTCAAGCATAAATCTATAGACATACATATAAACAAAACTTGAACCCCAAAGTAACTTAGATTATTTCTTTTTTAGGCCCGGGTCAAATAACGTACTTAGGTGGACCTAACATAATTATGTTTTCTTGCCAAACCAAACTCCAAACTTAATTCAAAGGTGATCCAGCCAAACTGAACTCTAGCCGTTCTTCACAATGGATAGCCAATCCAAATAAAATCGCTCAAACCTAACTTAAATGAGATTGGTTCATGTGAAGTCTTAAGTTTGACCCAGGCCTAACATCAATCCAATTTAATATCAACAGAAATATATAATTGAGTAATAAGAAATTAATTATTGTATTATATGTAATAAATTGTCAAGTCAAGTTTGTTCAGTGCTGCGGGACACCACTTGCATTCCAGTATCCGTAATGAAATTTCAGTTCAAACAACTCCTTTGGCTTATTAAATTTGAGCTCCATTAGCTTTTCATTCGACACTAACACCTCACACCTCTCAAGGCTATTTTGCACAGCTGCCATACGCCTTTTTAAAATCACATCAGGATCGACTTCTGTACCATCTAAATCCATCCTCGCGAATAAATATTTCGCTTTTCGCCTATCTGTTATCTCGTATACAACTTGTGTACTTGTTTCGGTAAATCGTTGACCGAAGCTTGTGCGTTGCATAAGGTCTTTAGAAATGCATTCAAACACCTCTTGCGGCATGTCCATTTGAAAATCTCCACGCCATGGATTGGCAAGTCTTGGCCTTGTACTTAGGCGGCGAATTATTTTGGCGTGAATCTTTTGTAGGGACCTTGCGACCATCCCTCTTGCTGGTACTAATCTTTGCACGGTCGAAAATCTACCTCCACGATGACTGTATTTGGTATCCAACACGGATACAGCAGCTTCTAGCTCTCCGAAAAATTTACTGATCCGTTGTATACCATCGCCAGTATCAACCCTGCCCAATAGATCAAGTTTGCAACGTTGAATTGGTTGTCGAAGGCTTTCTGCAAATTGTAAATTGGCCGCCATATTGGATTTTACCCGTTATTCATTGCGCACCTCTGATGCAACATCGATGGGGTGGTTTGGCCCCACCGTGGGTTGTCACCAGGGGGCCTGGGAATTAGGATCCCAGAGAGAGGATTGATTGATTGATTGATTGATTGATTCACTTGTATTTGAATACGGTAATTTCATAAGTTACATAACTTCTTTACATGAAAGCCGTATAGAAACAGAAGTAAATACTGTACAACCACACTAAAAATATGTACAAATAATAAAATGTAGTAAAATGTAGTCAACAGTTTGCCTGCCTACTAGCCAGTTTTCTTTTAAAGATAGCTTTAGATTCGGACGCTTTTATGTCATTTGGTAATGAATTCCACAGCATTCCTCCTCTGTATGAGAAAGACCCCTTATAACATTCTGTTTTTGGAACGTGGTCCAGTACAACATTATATTCCGTATTTCTTAGCATAGACTTATAAGGGTTGTTCTCACGGACATTCGAGAAAAGATCGCTCAAGTAACTAGGTACGTTTCCATTCACTGTATCATACATTAATAGACTTAAGAGCGGATGTCAGTAAATATCGACCAGAGGTCTACAAAACTGAAAAATCGAAAATTCTCAAAAAAATTCACAAAGTAGCACTAGGTAAGCTATTAACACAAATGTAATTTTTACTTCGATCCGATAATTATTTTCCACGTACGGGGGGGTTATTGGTTTCGCGGCTCTCAGACCGGGTTTTCCAGGCCCGAGACCATGTGTCACTAAAAAATCGTTTTAAAATTCAAATCCATTGTAATGTGGACAACAAATAACTTATTCAGAAGAGTACTTAATTGCACACATTCTAAGTGGTAATTTACTGAGTTTGAACGAAAGTGTAATATTTTGGAGATTTTTCATTATTTTCAATATTTTGATCGTTTTCGTTCAACGAAAAAATGGCAAATTTCAAAGCCCAAAATCGTCGACTGGTACCTCGATTTCAGTAACGAGTCTTATACCACGTTAAAGAGCGTTATCTCTTCTTTCAAAATCTGTTTTCAAAACTACGGGCAACTTAAAAGAAAATTTTTGAGGCCCAAAAATACAAGTAGTACTTTTCTGAAATTTTGGGCTTTCCAGACTCAGCGGGCCGATGCTAAAAACTTGGAAAAATACAGTAAGAAATCAGTTTGAGCAATAGTGGTTTCATGTTATCAGCTTTCAGAAACCAAAACGTGTTTATACAGCGATATGATATAAATTAATGCCGTTTGCTATCAAGAAAAGCAGATTTAAGCTGTCAACTCCTGCCAAGTACACCAGTCACGTGAAGTTGTCAAAGGGAGGGCAAAGCACTAATATAAAAAGTCTTAAAATTCAAAACGTTTTACGTCCATGAAATCAGATTTTAGCGTACAAAACAATGTTGTGAATGTCTGTTGTTCGTACCTTAGCATGGTGTTTCCATATATTGGAAATGTCAAGTATCCACACGGGAGAACATACCAAACAACAACGTTTTAAATCCAAGCGCCGAAAGATCGTAAACGGCAAAGATTGCGTTACATTTCACAGAACGACCGCTTACCAGTGTTGTCACTCCTTTTTTCGCTGGAAGCTACGAGGAGTTTTCATTCCGTCATGAGTGATTCTTGATCAGCGTTTCCTTGAAAGTACGACCCCGGACAGGTGATAACTGAGGACGTTTCGTCAAGACTCCTGTTGTTCAGTTTCAGGCTTTAGCAGGTGCGTAGTCAGGATTTTTCCGGAAGTACGCCCAACTTTTTCTACATCTTCTTCCCCACCTCCCCGCCCCCCACCCCAAATCTCAACATTTTTTTAAGGTGCCTTTATTAAAGGTGGGGTTAACGGTTGTAAGCAAAAGCATTTTTGCTGTTTATGAAATGACACAACCTCTAAAATTCTTTAATTCTGTCGGCTTGTTATGTTCATTGACGTCAACCTCATTAATTCAGCTATTAAAAATCAAGCTTGTAGTACCTCCGACTTTTGTTTACAAATGACTCTTTTTACCCCTTTTTGTCACATTATTTTTGACCGACAAAAACACCACACATTGACGTAATTGTGCCCTACTTCGTCTACTCCGAAGACAGGTCGTGGAGAAAACAACGCGTTCACGCTTTACATCATCAAGCTTGCTATATAAATAAATCATCGAAGATTAGGTTCTCCAATTAATGTCGTCGCTTCTCTGAAAACCGATTTTTTTTTAGTTATGTTTATTTCATTCTATTTTTTTTTTCCTCAATGTTTTCGGGTACGCACGTGCAAACCGTGCGTACAAGTAGCTACGCCCCTGTTTAGTCTCCTTAGCCCTGAGCGTTCCTCTCTTGCGGTTTTCGCGGGAGTTCAGGATGTGGTCCACCCAGTATTTCACGTCTCTTTTAAATGAGAGGCAGCACTTCTTGTTTACCGTTTCGTTATCAGACAGCGCTTAGGCTCTTAGCCTTTCATTTAATTTTGATCAAATTTTTCTCATTTAGTTACTCAGTATACGTTCGATCCTGTCCTTGTAAACTTATACTTTTATACTTTAGGGGAGCTTAATTCCTATATTAATTTTTTCTTCGTTTAGTGTCGTCCAAAAGACCCAGTTTTTTGGCATTTTTTAAAAAAGCAAGAAAAAGAAACGACAAGGTTTATTTTTTTTGGACTTAGATTAATTCTTTTAATCTAAAAGATTAGCATTATAACATCATTTCGAGGCATAAAACGTTCGGTGGTGTATCCTCTTTGCGTTTTACCCTTCTTGGGCCTTTTTTTATGAAATTGACCATCAAAGTTTCCGCCATATTAAATTTGTGTCGATTTGGTGACCATGTCTTGTTGTTTTCAGTCTCCACGGCAATGATGCTGGTGTCTCAGGCCTCCCGTTCTCAGATTTCTTGTGATTTTTTTTTTTTCACCCCACCGACCGACCCACCCAAAACCAGGAAACCTATTCGACGCTAAACGAACGAAAAGGGGATGACCTAAGCCTTATGGTTTCTTTTTGGGCTTCCTCACCACATTGCTTCTGCGTGTTTCTGTATACTTGTCTTTTGCTTTGTTTTGTTCTTTTTTGTCGGTAAAATAAACTGAAACTGTACAAAGACCCTCAATATTCCCTTTGGAGGTTCTCGAACGCGCATAAAAAAAATGGAAAACGCGATGATTTATTGACCGCAAGGGCAATGGGGTGGGGTTGGGGCTCGTTACTGCGCTCCAGTTCACTCGTACGCTGTCAAACGGTCCCGAAATACAAAATGAAAAATGACTGTGGACAGACTATTTACGTCTAGACATCAAGCATCTTTTAAGATGGGACTTATCGCCTCTCCCTGTTCATGGAGTTGATTCAAGGTGTTGACGTTAATTTCGTGATGCCCTGCATGTTGCCAGGACATGTTTCAAAAGGGCCTTTCCAAAGGTACGGAGTCCGCCGTCACCTTGTCAACCGTGCGAGAAATTATGTACTTCACAAAAACAAAGAGAAGTTATTTTCGATTTGCCCCGCCCCCTACCCCCGAAAGTCCCCGACAGGACCGCTTCAAAGTACTCCCCATGTGGTTGCGCGGGGGATAGTGACACACCTACCTAATTGCATCGTGCATCAATGACAGTTTAGCTCAATCAGAAGCCCCTTTTCCCTGGCTAGTTCAAGGTGTGTGCACCTCCTTTAAGCTGTTGTTTTCGGTTCTTACTGAAATTTTTGATCTTGAGGAAATTCACAACGACAGGAGCAGATTATGGGCTTTTTTTCCTAGCCCTAATCCTACATCACGGGAAATCCCTCAGGTTAGGCAAGAATTCGATAATCCTTCCATAATCATCCATTTTTTCACCGCGTGAATTGGATATTTTTAGCTTATTTCGAGGAAATACTTTTTGCTTCAAATCCAGG